TTGAGAAATGGTGAGTTAACTAAACACAAAGTTGTGTCTTTTCTTTCTAAAAGTCCTCTGAAAATTACTGTGAGATGGTCTGTATGTCAAATGTGTTGCTGATTGGTCAATGAATAAATCACTGATTGGCAGTGGCCAGGCAGGAAGTATAGGCGGGACTAACAGAGAAGAGAATTGAGAGAACAGGAAGCTGGGTGGGGGAGACACTGCCAGCCGCCATCAGGACAAGGAAGATGTAAAGTACCGGTAAGCCACAAGCCACGTGGCAAGGTATAGATTAATAGAAATGGATTAATTTAAGCTGTAAGAACAGTTAGCAAGAAGCTTGCCACGGCCATACAGTTTGTAACCAATATAAGTCTCTGTGTTTACTTGATCGGGTTTGAGCAGCTTGGGACTGGCGGGTGAGAGAGATTTGCCCTGACTGTGGGCCAGGCAGGAAAAGTCTAGCAACAGAAAATAACTTCATAGTAGTTAACTTAATTCTTCTGGCATTCTTGAACCTGTTTAGTGAGTTTTCTTGGGGTTCGGTCTGCCCTCTTTGTCCTGCACAGGTTCAAGCAGTCCAGGACTTACTGGAAGGTTTTTCCAATTGAGCCAGAGATGGATGTGCTCAATAGGCTGCAGACCCAGGGCCTTGGGCTGTCCATAACCATGCGTACAATGTTTTCCTCAGATGGGCAACATAAACAAAGGCTTGGGAACAGAAAAAAATGGTCTTCAGTTATTCAGTTCTAGCTCACAGAACCCAGGACAAGCCATGTGACATGGGGAAGAAGAGAAGCTGGGGAAGAGGGCACTAAGCTTCACTTTGACAAAGGAAAAGAGTTTTAGTTTTGCTACATAGTATGGTGACTACAGTTAATAATCATAAATTGCTTATTTAAAGGACACTAAAGAATTTTAAACATCCTCCATCCCCCCAAAACCACAAGTAGGTGAGATGAAGCATGCTAATAAGCTTAAAGATTTAATCATTTAACATGTTTTTATGTATAAAAACATACTGCACCTCATAATTACACAAAATTGGTATAGTTTAAGTGAAAACAAAATAGAAAACAGAGTTTTAAGGATAAACAAATTAAAAATAAAGTCAAATAATACTTCAATTTGTCATAAGAAATTCTTGTTATATCTCTGAGACTATTGTTCCACAGCTATCTAGACAATTCTTTAAGTTGATGCGGTATCTAATATATCAGTCAATGCCTTTGCAGTAATAAATGAAAATGGTGATCAATTCAAAAGTGAATGGCAAAAGACAACCTTCTCAATGTCTCATAAAATTTAGTGAATGATTTTGTAATGAATCACAAAAAGATTCATCTTTATTGACAAACAGCAGGTGCCAGATGTTAAATCTTCAAATTAGCTTGCTGTTATGGTTTGGGTGTGTTCCCCACATCTTGGAGGCTTGATCCCTAAGGTGACACTGTTAGGACATGGGGCTTAACAGGAAGTGGTTGGTCATGAAGGTGTAGCCATCAAAAGTAATGTTCTTGTCACAGAAGTGTGTTAATCATCACAACAGAGGTTTGTTACAATAGTACCCTTGGCTCTCCCCCACCCTCTCTTGCTAGCTTGCTCACACCTTTCTATATTTTACCATAATACAGCATACCCAGCAGATGCCAGGGCCATGTTATTAAATTTACTAGTCTCTGAGATTGTGAGCCAAGTAAACTTCCTTTCTTCTTAAATTATCTAGTTTACAGTACTCTGTGTTAGCAGCAGAAATGTAGTAAGGGGGAACCCAACTCAGACAACCTGTATGTCTGCAAGGGAAGCTATATTGCTCTACAGTAACAAACAAGACCTAAGATATCTTAGGGAGGTAGGTCCCATGGCTTCACTCACAGGTATTCCATGACCAAACTAGGCCCTTAGCCAATCTAATTACAGAATTGGCTGGAAATGTAGAGAAGCCCAAGGTACCAGGAAACACTAGCACACAAACATGCACCACACCCTCCAATGAAACCACAATCTGAACATCTATAAATCCCATTTGAAATTCTGATTGGGACACTGTGATGGTTAATCTTCACCATCAGTTTGACTGGACTTAGGATCACCAAAGAGGCACACCTTTGTGTTTGTCTGAGGGGATTTCCAGAAAGGATTAACTGATTGTGACTGATGCCATCCTGTGGGCTGAGTTGCCAAACATAGGAAAAAAAGAAAAAGAAAAAAGCCAGCTGAATGCCAACACACTCTTTTCTCTGTGTCCTGATCCACTCAGGTATAAGCAAATCCCCAAATTCTTGCTGTCCTAACCAGAGGAAGCTGACACCATGCCTTTCCCACTGTAACAGTTAGCATCATAAAATCATGAACCCAAACAAAAAGCCTGGGAATATAGTTCAGTGGTAGAGTACTTGTCTAGGGACCTTTAGGTTCAATCTTACAATAAGATCAGTACAAACACCTTAGAAAACTGCACAGTGTGATATAAATAAATTTTTATTGGGAACTTCATGAATAAACTTTATATAGGTTGCAGAGAAGTCATTTTCTTTCATCCTGTGAATAAACATAATTCAGATCAAAATTAAGTCACTCAGAAGTTTATTTTCAAAACTTACACAGAATAGTTCATTTTGAGGGAGTAGTGAGTCAGGTTCTCTTGTAGCCCAGGCTGGCCTCAAATTCTCTGTGTCACTGAAAATAGCCTTGAACTTCTGATCCTCCTGCCTCCATTTCTCAAGTGCTGGGATGCTGTTGCTAAAGTTTTCCTGCCTGGCCCACAGTCAGGACAAACTCTCTCACCTGCCAGTGCCACAGCAGCTCAGACCCGACCAAGTAAACACAGAGACTTATATTGGTTACAAACTGTATGGCCGTGGCAGGCTTCTTGCTAACTGTTCTTACAGCTTAAATTAATCCATCTCCATTAATCTATACCTTGCCACGTGGCACGTGGCTTACTGGCATCTTCACATGCTGTTTCTCATCGTGGTGGCTGGCAGTGTCTCTCTGACTCAGCCTTCCACTTCCCAGCTTTATTCTCCTCCTTGTCCCGCCTACACTTCCTGCCTAGCCAATGGCCAATCAGTGTTTTATTTATTGACTAATTAGCAACACATTTGCCATACAGAACATCCCACAGCAGGATGCCAGATATATGCCATATTCTAGCTACAGGATGATTTTTATAGCAACTTTATTAAAATGACTGGAAAAGGAATTTTTAAAGTTAATCAAATGCATTGTCAAATCATATACAATATGGAGCTCAAATCATAGACAATAACTTTGATTTAATTTGACATTGCTTATATAGCAAACCATGCTTTTCCATAAAAATATATTTTGCTTATAATTTTGAATTTGCAACAATAAAAATTTCCAGGATTCATTTTCAAGTGACAGATCAATCTAAGGATATTTACTCAAAATAAAACTGCAAATGAACTAAAATCATAGATATATAATCTAGAAATATTTTTTAAATTACCTGTTTAAAATGCATATGAATGGCAAGGCATGGTGATGCTCACTTTCAGTGCTGCCACTTGAGAGTCAGAGGCAGGTAGAGGCAGGAGGATTTTATGGCTATGCTGGTCTATACAGTCTCAGGCAAATGAGGGATACACAATGAAACCTTGTCTCAAAAAAAAGTTCATATAACTAGGAGATAAAAATAATCAACCAGGACACAAGAGGCTGATGACGCCAGGCTTGAATTCATGAGTATGTGGAAGGTGCTCAAAAGACAACACCAAAAATGTTCCAGCTTCTCCACCCCCATGTTCTCACCTCAGATCCCCAGGAAAGAAAAGCTGGTCCAGAGGGGGTGGTTTCTAGTCCTGGGTCAATTATTCTTGCTTATTCCATAAATTTTGAAAACCTTAAAATTGTCTTGCTCATATCACACCAAGTCCTGGCTTGGATGTTTCATTTCTTGTATTTTGATTCTATTGTTCATAAGTTTTATAATCACAACTAAAAGAAAAATCCATGCACCTTCCTTATCCACTCTATATTTAGCAAAGAATGTGTGGATGGATCCTCCCAACTAGGGTCTAGAGTGATAGACTACCCACCCCTTATAGGACGTGGATGGGTTATGGGGTTTCTGTGAAGCTTTTCTGTTCTCTTATGGCAGGTCAGGTAGATCCAGAAGGATACCTGAACACAGGAACATAGAGCTACATGGAGAGCGACTAGGAGTTTGAAACTATTTTCAGCCCTTCCTCAGAACCACACTCTATCCTAGTCCAAATCAGCTGCACCTTCAGAACTGAGGGAAGTTGGTATCAAACACTGATCCTTTCTTTCAAGCAGTGCCTTCTTTCCTTGGTCATATTTTACTTAACTATTTGATACATTGTTACAGTCTTCACACTTTATTGATAACGTCTGTCACTGGCTTCTGTTGATTACAGGGAAATTCTGTTGGTGATGGTATGACCCCTCTCTACTTTGCTAGGTTCTTATTTTCTAAGCAGTCTTGGCCAAAAGTCAAGTCACAACTCTGCCTGGCTCCTCCATCAGAAATGAAATTACAAGGGCTTTTGGATGTTAGGAAATTGGGGGTGGGGCAGAGACCTCACTACATTTTTAAGTTCCTTCTCCCCAAGTTAAGATCCAGCCTCAGTTGCTGCTTCATGGCAGCCGGCTCTGCACATCATGGCAATGCAATAATGGCTCCCTGGAGCCAGAGCCACCTGGGCTCCTTTCTAATACAAGGGAACAAAGAACAGCAAATGGTGACACACCATAGAAATTCAGGCATTGTGTGATTCCCATCTAGTAAAATCCAAGGCTTAATTGTCACTCACCGAAGTTTGATTACTTGAGAATACCTTTTTATTAAGTACCTAAAAAGTCATGTAATAAGCATCCCTTTAATACAAACTGCAAAAAAGAAGTAAGACTTTATAGAGAATAATGCCTTTAGAAGTGCAAGAACTGGGTTTTTTATTCAGGTCTAGGTTGGGTTTCATTCTCTGAGTCTTGGTTTTATCATCTATAAAATTAAGGCAACGATAACACCCACATATAAATTTTAATATGTTGTTTTGAAAAAGAATCAAATGAGATAAGTATGTCAAAATGTTGGAGTTGGGGAGTGGCTCCATTGCATAATGCTTGCCTAGCACACCGGCAGCCCTGGATTAAATCCCCAGCATTGGAGGAAAAACAATACAGTAACCCTTAAAGACGCAGGCTCTTCAAATGTTCTTAGAGAACCTGCATCTGTGTGTCCAGGGTCCTATGAGGTCCTGGGAACCCCTTGAAGCCAATACACTTGGTGTGTAGCCAGTTTCTTTCAAGAAGCTGCTGACTTTTTATCTCCATCTACAAGTGGCACTCATGCTTACTGGGCACATAGTAGGAACCAAAGCAATGCTTATTGATCAATATATTGGTAGACAAAAAAAAATGTTTCCCTGCTTCATGCCCACCATAATGTGCAGTTTTGTTATTTCTTGACTTCTTCTAATTAAAATTGTTTTAAAAAATCTTCTTTCAGACACTCATGTGACCTAAAAGAAGTTGGTGTTAGTTATGAATCCTGAATAGCTCCTAAAATGTGTCATTTCAAAATAGTGTCAACCTCCAACTTCACCAAGAAAAACAACCCTTTAAAATGCTAAGCAAATCAGCCTAATTCAGTCACATCCAACTCAAAGAAATCAATGACTGCTTACAAATTTTTTCAGCAACCAGGCCAGAAAAGAAAGAAAACCAGAGAATAACAGGCCTCTGCATGGCCAAGTAAGGCTTCACAAAGCTCACTTCATTAGAAACTACTGGAAAAGCTACAAAGCCCAGACAGCCTTTCTGAGCCCTGCCGCAAATTGCCCACTTTGAACACAACAACATCTTCCCTTGTTCTTGCCATCTTCTGTGTTGATTTTCTGGATCTACCAGCATGAAATTGGGAGATCCAGCCAGGAACCATGGGGACAGACAGGTGTTCCCTTTGGCATCAGGTCTTTTCTGAATACCCATTATGATAAACTTCTTACTGGTGAGGCTTGCTCATGCAACTGTGACAGCTTCTATCCCAGTCTCTGATATGCTGCAATTGAAAAAAAAAAAAAAGATGAAATACAATGCTTTAAAACATACCTACTAAAGGATTATAGGCATGGTGGGTCATGCCTATAATCCAAGTCCTCTTGATGCTGAGGCAGAAGACAGTGAATGTGAGGCCAGTCTGGGCTACATGGTGAAATGGTTCAAATGTTCCGATCCTAAATAAGAAGCCTCACTTTTGACCTCTCTCTCTCTCTCTCTCTCTGTGTCTCTCTCTGTGTCTCCTCTCTGTGTCTCTCTGTGTCTCTCTGTGTCTCTCTGTGTCTCTCTGTGTCTCTGTGTGTGTGTGTGTGTGTGTGTGTGTGTGTGTGTGTGTGTGTGTATGTGTATGTGTATTATTCAAACAAGGCTGATAAAACAGCTTAATTAGTGAAGCACTTACTATATAAACATGAGGCCTTGAACATTCATCCTCAATTCCTATGTAAAGGAAAGACAAACTAGGCCCTCTTGGACCACTCCCGTAATCCCAGCATTGAGGAAGTGGAGACAGAAGGATCTCTAGGACTCACTGGCCAGTCGATCTAGTCAAATGATTAGCTCCAGATTCAGTGAGAGACTCTTTCTCAAAAATAAGGTAGAGTAGCAACTGAGGAAGACACTCAGTGCATGCACATAAGCAGAAGAAATGTCAAACATTTCTTAGCACAATGGAGCTTTATCTATTCAGTATCCTAGCCAACAATTATCAACTCCATATCATAACATTTCTAAGTTCAATCAATTAACTAATATTCAATACATACATAGTTCATTTTATTATTATTTAAGTTTTAAAAAATGAGGCTAAATTAGCAAAATCCAGGCACTGTTAGAACTTACAATCCAATGGGGAAACTGAGATCTAACAGTCAGCAGTAAATGCTGTGGTAAGAGAAAGAGCAGCAGACAGCTAAACAATTCAGGAGAACTTCTCTGAAGGAAGTAAACTAAGATGAGCCTTGAGGAACAAACGGGAGCTAGCCCAGAGAGAGGGGAAGAGGGGTAAACTGAGAACGGTCCAACAACCGAAGGAGACCAGGGTGGTACAAATAGGAGAGTCAGAGTGTCTGTATTTGCAGATGATGTAGTTTCATACATAAAGAAGCATGCATACTTGATAAGCACATGTGTAGCTGATCAGCAAAGTAGCAAGATACAATATGAGTATGCAAAATCAGTAGCTTTCCTGCACAAATGACAAGCATATTGAAAAAAAAATTGGACAAATAGTACCTTTCACAGTAGCCTCAAAAACAAAACAAAACCTTAGGCTAACTCTAACCAATCAAATGAAAAACTTGGATAATTAAAAACTCTAAGATGCTGAAAGAGAAATTAAAGAAAGCATCAGAAGATAGAAATATTCAAATGCTCATGGATTGATACAATTAATACAGTGAAAATGGCCATCCTACCAAAAGGAATCTATGGATTCAATGCAATCCCGATAAAAATTCCGACACAATACTTCACAAAAATTGAAAAAAAAATCTTCAAGTTCATATGAAAACACAAAACACTCAGGATAGCAAAAAAAAAAAAAAAAAAAACCCTGAATAATAAAAGAATTGTTGGAGGCATCACCACCCCAGATTTCAACTTCTATTACAGAGCCATAGTAATAAAAACACCATAGTATTGACATAAAAACAGACCCCTTGGTCAATGGATTTGAATTAAAGACCCAGACATAATTCACACACCCATGATCACCTAATTTTTGACAAAGAAACCAAGACACTGGAGAAAAGGCAGCATCTTCAACAAATGGTACAGGTCAAACTGGACATCTTATAGAAGAATGCAAATAGAACCATATTTATCACCTTGCACAAAACTCAAATGAATCAAGGACCTCAACTTGAGACCAGATATCCTGGATCTGAAAAAAAGAGAAGGTGGGGAGTGGGCTCAAACTCAATGGCACGGGAAAGAACTTTCTGAATGGGACACTGATATAGCACAGACATTAAGACCAACAATTAATAAAGCTGAAAAGCTTCTGTGTGGTAAAGGACACCGTCATTGCTGGTGGGAGAGCAAACAGGTACAGTCACTATGGAAACCAGTGTGGAGGTTCTTAAGGAAGCTGAGACTCATTCTACCTCAAGAACCAGTTATACTACTCTTTGGCACATACCCAAAGGATTCTACATTTTACTATAGAAATACTTGCTCATCCATGTTCATTGCTGCCCTATTCATGATAGCCAGAAAATGGAAATTAGTCTAGATGTTCATCAACTGGTGAATGGGTAATGAAAACGTGGTGCATTTACACAATGGGATATTATTCAGCTTTTAAGAAAAAAGTGAAATTTGCAGGTAAATGGATTGAGCTAGAAAAAAATCATCCTGTGAGGTAACCCAGATCCCCAAACACAAATAGTGCATGCTTTCTTTTATGTTAGATTTTAAGTTTTTGGTTTATGGCTACAATCCAGATAACCACAGAGGTTAGGTAGGAACCTAGTAAGGGATCAGGGGCAGGAAAGGCTCTCCCAAGGAAGGGGAAATACGATTTAGTATTATGAAAAGATAAAGGGGAAACTAAGAGGATTAAATAGGAGAGAAGGGTAAAGGAGGGAATAGGTAGAAGGACAACTAACTAAAGGCCATTTGAAAACCTATTAGTTCTTGACTACACATTAGATATCAGATGACAGGTTAGTGTGAGACTGTTGTCATCACAGATAGGCCAGTTTTCCCCAGGTGAGGGATTTATACCCTTTCCTTGGTCTATAGTGTTTGATAAACTCTTGGGCCTGGTTTTCCTATATGAATATATATCATGGAAATATATATACATATATATATATGAATATGTATTCAGTGTGCTTGTACCTACCCTTTCACTCAATCTTGCCCTCTCCCTACTCTCCAGGGGCCCAGTGACTTTCAATACTGCATATATATTTTCTAAGTATATAAATATGACCTGTTCAGTCCATATAATATTACTTGTATGTATGGGACTAAACACGCCCTGAACAAGGATGATACCAACAGACATGCAAACATGAAGAGGGAAAGCTCAAGAGGCCTCAACCCCACACAGAACTACAGGCAACTAAGGAAAGCTGAGAGTGGGAGAAATAGTCTTCCCCAGGGTTTGTCAGCCCACTCTTGAAACCTCTTGAGCTCTGCTCTTGCTGTAGCCTCTTGTACTCATTCTATAAATGAGAGAGAGAGAGAGAGAGAGAGAGAGAGAGAGAGAGAGAACCATGGGATGTCATTCTGTATGCTGTGAATATGTGTTACTCTGATTGGTTGATAAATAAAGCTGTTTGGCCAATGGTGAGGCAGAACAAGGTTAAGCAGGACATTCTAACTAGAGAGGAGAAAGGCAGAGCAGAGAACATGCTGCTAGCTGACACCAGAAGAAGCAAGATGTAAAGTACCAGTAAGCCACAAGCCACGTGGCAAAGTATAGATTTACAGAAATGGGTTAATTTAAGATATAAGAGCTAGCTAGCGAGAAGCCTGAGCCATTAGGCCGTATAGTTTGAAAACAATATTAGCTTCTGTGTGTTTATTTGGGTCTGAGTGGCTGCAGGACTGGGTAGGACACAGGAAAATATCCAGCTATAAGAGAGAGAGAGAAAGAGAGAGAGAGAGAGAGAGAGAGAGAGAGAGAGAGAGAGAGAGAGAGAGAGAGATATTAGACTGAAAAACCCTGCATCTACCTTGTCCAGGTTACTAAGGTAGGTGGAACTATCTAGCAAATTGCTGCCATTATAATTACTGTGCCTTGTGGATTTATTGGTATTCAACAAAATCTAATGTTGTGGAAAGACCCAAACTTATTCACCTACATTTCCTTCATAATGTGCCCACAACACCTCTTTGTTTCCATCCCTTTTAACACTTTTGGATCACATCATTATCATATGTCAAAAATTATTGCGACAGCAATGGCCTGGTTTCCTCTTTCCCAAGCATGCCTGTTTTTAAGTAACACCAGAGGGAAATACAATTTTATGAAATACAGTCATGATCATATTACCTTCCTGACTAAATTTTATCAATGGCTCATTTATAGATGGACATCTTTCAAGCTCCATAAGGTGATTTGGTATGCTTGTTCATTCCCCACCCCATTCCCCCATCCTCATCAACACTACTTTGTATTAATGATATATTTATATCTCCTTCCTACTAGAATTCTACTTTGAGCTTAAATCTCTCTTGGGGCAAACTTCTTGACATTTCCATTGGAGTGACTCATAGGCATCTCAAAAAAACCATCTTTTGCAATTTCTCCATTTTAGCAAGCCACCCAGCTGTTTAAGGTGGGGGGGGGGGAACTCTAGAAATTAACTTTAGTTCTTCTTTGACCAGCCTGTTCATTTAATTTACCCAAAGTTCTGCTAATTACATCTCTAAAAGTTGTACCAAATTTATTTTCCACATTTTTAACTCAACTTACCTGCCTAGTTCATCATCACCTCTCACCTAGATTAGTGTTAAGCCTCCTTTTTCTCTCCAGCCACCTTTGCTTCACCCCTCCAGTGCAGTCTAGTGTGCAGAGTCTCAGCTGCTTTCTTTGCTTCACCCCTACAGTGCAGCTGGTGTGCAGAGTCTCAGCTGCATCCTTTGCTTCACCCCTGAAGTGCAGTCTGGTGTGCAGAGTCTCAGCTGCATCCTTTGCTTCACCCCTCCATGCAGTCTAGTGTGCAGAGTCTCAGCTGCATCCTTTGCTTCACCCCTCCAGTGCAGTCTGGTGTGCAGAGTCTCAGCTGCATTCTTTGCTTCACCCCTGAAGTGCAGTCTGGTGTGCAGAGTCTTAGCTGCATCCTTTGCTTCACCCCTCCAGTGCAGTTGGTGTGCAGAGTCTCAGCTGCATCCTTTGCTTCACCCCTGAAGTGCAGTCTGGTGTGCAGAGTCTCAGCTGCATCATGTCATTTGCTTCCTTTCAGCTTTTTAGCAAATTCCTATTGCTTTTTAAATAAATCTAAAATTTATTTAATGTAGATGAATTTTAAAAGATCTTATTAAATAAAAACACAGAGCCAGATATAGGGGTGAAAACCTGAGAGAGTAAGGAAATAGGAAAAGCAACAAGCTAACCTCACCTCACCGGCACCTCAGTCTCCAAAGAGACCTACTTCCTGTATACCCACGCCTATATGCCTTTCTATTCTGTTCTCTCATTGACTCTCTCAGCCCAGCTACATCACTTCCTCTTCCTGCCCAGCTCTGTCACTTCCTGACTGTCTGTACAGACCTCAAGACCTCTATGGTTAGTGCTGGGATTAAAGGTATGTGTCACCATGCTTGGCTCTGTTCCCCAGTGTGGTCTTGAACTCACAGAGATCCAGACAGATCCCTGCCTCCCAAGTGATAGGACTAAAGGTGTGTGCTATCATTGCCTGACTTCTATGTTTACTTATAGTGGTTAGCTTTTTCCTCTGATCCTCAGATAAATTTTATTGGGAGACACAGTATATTGGGGGACTCAATACATCACCACACTAAAATCTCCAAATGGTTCACTTACCTTGTTTATTCTACAGAGATTTTTCCTGTCCTCTAATTCATCACACAGTCATGAAAGATGCCCATTTCCTTTCTTACTCACTTTGAACTCCAACCCTTTAAGGAAAAAATATAGAAGACATATAATAAATAGTATTGAAAGAATGACTAAAATAAGGTATGGTGGTATATGTCTATAATACTAGCATTTGGTAGGCCAAGTCAGCAGGGTTCTAAGTATGAGGCTAGCCTAGGCTATGTATGGAGACTTTGTGTTTTAGTAAGTGCTCTATTGATATGAAGAGACACCATGACCATAGCAACTCTTATAAAGGAAAGCATTCAGTTGGAGCTGGTTTACAGTTTCAGAGGTTAGGTCATTATCATCATGGTGGGAAGTATAAAGGCACACAGGCAGACATGGTGCTGGAGAAAGAGCTGAGAGCTCTATATCTGGATACACAGGCGGCAGGAAAGAAAGAGTGAACCACTGGGCCTGGCTTGGACTTTCAAAACCTCAAAGCATACCCCCAGTGACATACTTCCTCCAACAGGGCCATACCTCTTATTCTTTTTAAATATTACCATGCTGTGGGATGTTCTGTATGGCAAATGTGTTGCTCTGATTGGTTGGTAAATAAAACACTGATTGGCCAGTGGCCAGGCAGGAAGTATAGGCGGGACAAGGAGGAGAATAAAGCTGGGAAGTGAAAGGCTGAGTCAGAGAGACACTGCCAGCCGCCAAGATAACAAACAGCATGTAAAGATGCCGGTAAGCCACGAGCCACGTGGCAAGGTATAGATTAATGGAAATGGATTAATTTAAGCTGTAAGAACAGTTAGCAAGAAGCCTGCCACGGCCATACAGTTTGTAACCAATATAAGTCTCTGTGTTTACTTGGTTGGGTCTGAGCGGCTGTGGGACTGGCAGGTGAGAGAGATTTGTCCTGACTGTGGGCCAGGCAGGAAAACTCTAGTCACATTACCACTCCCTAAACATTGAAATATATGAACCTATGGAGGCTATTCTTATTCAAACCACCACATCTTGCCATTAAAAAAATGTAGTGAAAGTGTAGTAGGATGAAACACCCCTCTAACCTTCTTATCCAGTCCCTGCTTCTGTGTCTGTTTCAGATACTTCTTTCTACTTCCCTGTGCTATAGTTTGCCTTTCAGCAAATACTGAGAGGAGAACTATACTAGGCAGTATGTATCTTACAAACACTTTGAATAATGACAGCATACATCAAAGTGAGAGAACCCGAGAGAGTAAAAACTCAGTAACAGAATGAGCATCAATCTGCTGTGCCCTTCTTTTGTCCCTGGTGGACTGCAAGCTCAGTCCTGGAAGAGTTTGTTTGCTCCCTTGCTTGTTCAGATTTCCGAGTCTAGGAGTGGACTCAGGCTTTGCACATTCTAGCAAATACTCTGTCATTGAGCTTTATCTCCACCTCCTTACAGTTTAGAGGTGATTTTGTTCATTGCATTGTTCATTGAAATAGAAACAACACAGAGTTCGCAATCTTAGCCATTTTAACTATATGATTCAGTGGCATTAGATTCATTTATCATGTTTTATACCCATCACCACTATCTACTTCTAGAACTTTTTTCTTTCCAAACAAACAATAACTTCATTCTCCCTTCTCTTCAGCCCCTAGTAACCTCTGTTTAACTTTCTGTCTCTAAATATACCTGTTCTTGGTACCTCATATGAATGGATTCTTGCAATATTTGTCTTCTGTGTCTGGTTTCTTTCACTTAGCAGAAAATGTTCAAGATTCATTCACGTTGCAGCATATTTAAGAATCCTATGCCCTCTCTAGCTGAAGGATTTTTACTTATTTGTAGTTCATTTGTTCACTGACTATTTATTGAGTCTTTTATTAAGGGGCAAGCACTGTTTTGGGTACTATCAAGACAGCAATAAACACAAAAAAAGAAGATTCTTACTGATTTCTTTCACAAGTACTTACACATATACATGTAAATATATGTGAGATGTGTGCATGTGTGTGCGCATGTGTGTGATGGAAAGACTTACGCTGAACTATGGCTGGGGGAAGGAGGGTGTGTCACTTAGATGCTGCATGAAGTGCTTGGGACTGATTCTCCTGGAGCCCTAGTCTTGTTGCTAAACCTCCAATAAGCTTCAGGAAGTTGAGAACATTGACAAGTCTAAAGTCTGAAACAAGACAACAGCTTGCAAATTCAAATAATAACTGATGCTGCAATCTTGATTCTGAAATTGGCAGGACAGGACAAGCAGGCTGGAAACTCAGTCAGGGTTTCTGTGTTGCAATCTAGAAGCCAAATTCCTTCTGAGGGAGAATCTGTCGTAGGCCTCTTCTGAGCTCTAGTGTTTTGCTAAGAATCTTTTGCATTGCTCAGATTGTAGACACATCACTCCTATCTCTGTCTCCATGCCTATACAGCATTCTCCCTATGTGCAAGAGTAGGTCCACATTTCCACTTTTTATGGAGACCACTCAGCAGGATACTGCCATCCTATTCTGATATGACCTCACCTTGACTAATAATATTTGCAATGACTCTGCTTCCAAGTAAGGTGTTTGGGGTTCAAATTTCAAGATAAAAACTGGGAAAGGTCAAGTCAGTTGATAACACAAAGTCATCTGTGAATACGAAGAGTTATTGGACAGTGAGTTTAAAACAGCGACAACCAACAGGCTGGAGGTAGGGCTCAATGACAGGGCTCTTGTGTAGCATGTAACAGGCCTGTGTTCAATTTCCAGCATCAGGGAGGTGGGGGGACCTAAAAGTTGGTGACATGAGATTGTTTTTTTACCTGAACAAAAATAATCAAGTTGTGGAGATTCTTCCTTGAGAAGCCCACATCTATGCTCTTGGGTCTGCCTTACTCTTTCCTGGGTAAAGTGCCTCTCATTCTATTAAGCCCAGTTTTTGGTCTGTTAAAAAAATGTTTTTCTAAATAAACATCCACTCTGCTTCAAAAAATAATAATCAGGTTGGCATTTACCTGTCTGGTGAAGACTTCAGCAGGAGAAGATGATAGAGATCAAGAGTTTACTTTTGGATGTTGTCTTACTCTATTTTGATTTCTGTAACAAAATAATCAACATTTACTGGCAACTGAAAAGTCCAGGAGCTTAGTGCCAGCTTCTGCCCTGCTTCTAGTGAGATCCTTCCTGCTGAATCATAACACAGTGGAGGGCATCACATGACATGATAGAGCCAGGAAACTAGAAAGAGGCCAATGTTGTAACTTAGCCAGTTGAGAAATGCCAGAACCTTCATGATCAGTCACTTTCTGAAGGTCCCTCCTCTGAACACTAGTATACTGGGCGACAGATTACACATATAGTTTGGTGTGACACATTCAAACCATAGGAGATATGAAAGATGCTCAAACAAAGGCCCACTTTCTCTCCTAAGCCACTTTTTTGATAACTAATGCTGCAGATAGGCCCAGCTATCTCTGAAAGAACTATGAAGAAGGACGTTTGAGTGTTGCCTGTCCTAACTTACATGGCCCCTAAGTAGCTCACTTCTGCCTCACTTTACTCTGTCCTCAGCCCCTCCTTCCTCCTCCTCATTATTTCCATTATACAGTGCCTCTACAACTTCTCTGCATAGGTTTTCAGCATAAATGCATTTCAAAAGTCATTAAATACTGTGTGAGGTCAGAACTAATTATGAACTGTAGAAATATTGTTTTAAACCATTGTGCTTCCAGAGTGAACATGGAGATTTTAAGTAAATGCAAATAGAAGTGTGTTATTAATAGTTGAGTGGTCCTTGAATTAATAATAATCTGTGGCTCTATTAACCATGTTTTATTTCAAGCATTACCACTCCATCTGCCCAGTTTATATCAGTGCAGGCAAATTCTGCCTTTCTACTTCTTGGTTGCTGTCCACTGGATCCTTGGGACCTAGAAGAAGGATGATGCTGATGTTTCCAATAGGAGAAAATTTAAAAATACATCATGGCTAAGCCATAGCAAAATAGAATTTTAAACATAAGGTCTTGTACAAAATAGATCACTTCATAAATTTAAAACTAATTTCAAACTCTGTCTTAGCTGTGATTTTTAACTCTACAGGTGATTAGCCTATTTTGGGAAAGGGGTAGTTTAATTTGCCATAGATGTTTCCTTTGTGAAGTGCTATTGTTTAAATGCAAAGAACCTCAGTTTGCCCGGGAACCAGGGAAATATTGTTTACATTAATTTGAGTCTGTCTTGTCTACTGTGCATAAAGTCATTTTGGTGATCTTCAGCAGATGATATAATTAATTGGGGAAGTCAATATTCAATCAGTATAGAGCCTCTAAGTTATCTGATCCCTAAAGACCAGTGCTTTCAGGAGTAGGAATTACATGATGATTCCACAGTGTGACTGTTACCTACACCTCTGACATTCAGGATCTAGTTGAAAAGCAGACAGGGGCATCTACAGTGCAGGGGCCTGGGGGGCAGACAGGAGGGGCGTCTGGAGTGGAGAGTCTGGCAGGGTGGGGATGGGCCATGGGGTTACTCAGACAGCTGAAGGTCTTTTCTGAGATAGTGTTTCTCCCTTTGAATTTTGTGGCTGCATCCAATACTCTGTGGCTCTCTCTGTTCTTGCTGTTGGGGCCTATAGAGCACTACCACCCACACCCACCATGCTTACACCTGGGGTCCTACCCAGGCTCCCAGAGCAGGAGTTTCAAGACCAAAACTGGTAGCAGGCTAGTCTAGGGAACCCAAATAGTGAGTGTCTCCAGATGAGCAAATGAGCATAAACTTTGTTTCTCTGGAATCTGTTAGAACTTTTATTCTGCTTGAAAACTTCCACAGCTCCCTCAAAAGAATCTCTGTGTTGAAGCAGAGGACCGGAGCAAAATGCCTAATGAAGCATACCCAGGGAAGGGGCTTGAGAGAGACTGGGGAAGACTGTCTGGGAATAGGGGGAGAAAAAAGGAGGGTCGGGTTTTCACAAACACTGTGACACCAAACGCCGGGGGTCTACAAAAGGCCCTAAGCTTCTTCAGTTCCCTTGAAGGCAGTCCAAACAGTCTTGGAAGTGTGCCAGGAGCTGCCAGCTGTCCAGGTGTAGGTCGCTGGGAAGGAGCCAGCCCTGTTTTAACTTCTTAGCTTCACCTAGCTGCTGGCGTCCTGCACAGGTTGGCGAAGGGTTCTGGGACTGCCCTGTGGCCACTCTGCACCTGGGGCTCGGGAGCCAGGAGCAGGTGTGGCCAGGGCCAATGGTCCAGGTAGCTGAGCCCATAAGAACTGCCCAGGCCCCGCTCCTCAGTGCAGCTAAGTGTGTTGGCATGTGTTGGACAACCCCTTCCCACCCACCAACACACACACACACACACACACACACACACACACACACACACACACACACACAGCTGGAGAGGGATACATCCACTGCCCCCTCCCAGAGTAAGGCGATCCTCCGTCTCTGGGTGAGGTGGCAGGTCTGAGTTTTCCAAATGACTCACTTGCCCTCCACAGTGAGCTGTTGGCATTTCTCCAGAAACCTCCAGCACTCATAGTTCCATCCGCAAAAGTAAATGCACCATGGCAGAAGGCAGGCGTGGGGGCCTGTGAACCTGTAGACTGAAAATTCTAGAATGACCCCATTCCCCGCAAGAAACGGTAGTGAAGGAAAGCGACATTGTGTGTACTTACACAGAAATGCAAACCCAGATCAACTCCCGAGCATACAAACGACAGAGACAAATCAGACAGGGCTCGGCGGCTTCCCACAAAAGGCCTCATGAATAAGAATGGGTTGCTAGGTTTCCCTGCCCCCACCCCCATCCCCCAACAATCCCTTCCCACAACTTCCACAGACAAAAGAAAACAGGCTGGCCGGGTGGCGAGACACTGGGAACCCAGCCAGGCCTGGGAGTGCCCGAGGCCGCTCCCGCATTCAGGACCCTGGAGAGCTCCCGCGCCTCGCCCCTGGGACCTGAGCCCAGCTGTCCTGGCTCTCTCCCCACAGGCGCTCCAACTCACTGTCACTGTTATTCTTTGCTTCCCGCCTCCACTTTCATTTTTCTTGGCAACCACTACTCTTTTTTTTCACAGACAGATTGAAATGTTTTTGTGTTTTGCTTGAGGGAAGTGTTTGGATTGGCAGAGCTAGGTTCCGGTTTGTAACTACACTAAACGTTAGTGCCCAAGAAGCTAAGAAAAACTTAAAGATGGAAGCCTAAAGTAAGTGGTCTTCAAACAGCACTAAAGCACGGTGTGGCACTTACCTGCAACCCTGGAACCCAGGAAACTGAGGTCAGAGAATGGAAAGAATGACAGCCTGAGCTGCTCAGCAAGGCATTGTCTCAGTAAACAAACCACAAATTTTTAAAAAGCAATAAAAACTTTTGAGAAATAGTTCTTTTTGGCAGTCCTACTGTGTATCTTCTCTTCCTTCCCCCTCCCCCTTCTCCTCCTCTTCCCCTCCCTCTTCCCTTCCTCTTCCTCCCCTTCCCCTCCTCTTCCTCCCTCTTCCCTCCTCCATCTCCTCTTCTTCCCCTCTCCCTCCCCCTCCTCTTTCCCTCCCCCTCATCTTCTCCTCCCCCTTCCCCTCCTCTTGTTTGAAACAGATTTTCAGGTTCTCATGTAGCTTGTGTTTACCTCAAATTCACTAAGTCTAAGATGACCTTGCCTCCACCCACCTCCCCACCTCCCCAGTGTGAGGATCACTGACATAGGGGCAGTTTTGCTATGCTGGACTAGGGCTAGGTAAGCAACCTACCAAACGAGGTACATTCCCAGTCTTAGGTGCATCCTCATTCTCCTACTAAGGCAAGAAGAGTTAAAGTTTAAAGATTCTTTCAAACAAACAAAACGAAACAAAAAACAAAGCTAACAAAGGTCTCTCTGCACTCTCTACATAGCTCTGGCTGTCCTGGAACTCACTATGTAGACCAGGCTGGCCTTGAACTCAGAGAGATCTGCCTGCTCGAGTGCTGGGATTAAAGTCATGTGCCACTACCTGCAGCTAAAGGCTCTTTTTAAAGACTAACTTCATTCTTCCATTTTTACAAAAGAAGTAGATAAACTCTAAAGTTAAAGTTTCATTCCCACAGTTGGGGGTTGTTAGTGGGAAAGCTATTTCTAGGACCCTGTGCTCCTGACTACTACACTAAACATGCCCAAGGACGATATTTTTTAACTTTCCATGAGGGCGGGGAGCATGTTTACTTTCACCCTCTTAATGCTTAAGTCTCCTAGGAATTTGTAGAAAGTGGAAGAACTCTGAGAACAAGATGCGCACATGGAGTTCAGAAAAGAGACCTGAAGTACGAATGCTTACAAAACCCAACCTCCACTCTACTGAACGCTAAGGCCAACTTGGCCAGCCTTTCCCCACACAGCTTACAGGTCTGGCATTCTTCACCCACCTGCATCTACCATCCATGTCTCACTTAACAGCTACCCCAGTGGGACCTGGTAACCAAGTGTATCGCTACCTCGGCAGGTAGTGGTATATTGGAAAAGAACAGGGTGAGAAGGATTCAGACGACAGAATGAAAGAGGAAGAACTGCAAAAATGAATGTGTGAACATGAACCTTCTTACACAAACACGCCACGTTAACTATGCATACAGATTCCATTGGCTTGTTAACCGGCAGATTCTGATGAACTAGGCTGGGGTAGGGACACAAGTTTTGCATTTCTGTGGAGCGGCTGGATATTGGATATGGGCAACAGCTGCTGGTCCAAGGACCACAGCATTAAACAGCATAGTTTTAAAGGAGCGGAGAGCAGGGCAATGGTGGCGCGATGCCTTTAACCCCAGCACTCAAGAGGCAGAGCCAGGCGAAACTCTGTAAGTTCGAGGCCAGCCTGGGCTGCAGAGTGAGTTCCAGGAAAGGCGCAAAGCTACACAGAGAAACCCTGTCTCGAAAAACCAAACCAAAAAAAAAAAAAAAAAAAGGAGGGGAGAAGTGAAGGGAGATTCTAACTTCGCGTTTTTTCTTTTGCTTTCACCGACCTTCTCTTGCACTCCCAAAATAAATTCTCAAAATGCTTCAGCAAGCGGTCTCAAGTAGGTGAGCGGACACGATACTAATGATGTGCTGGGTTTGTTTCTCTCGTTTCCCCACACCCTTCCCGTCGTCCTCCCTGCACAGCTCCCAGACTCTCCCGCAGTCCAGACGCTGCTCCACCACCTTTCTAGCCTGCTCAGCAGCTTCATGCTATTCTTCTCGAATCTTCTGCGGCGACCCCCTCTCATTGCTTGCCCGCGACGCTGGGACTTCTCCCCTCAGCTTCCCGCCTGGCCGGGTGCCTGGCTCTCTCCAGTGACCCGCCGTCTCCTGCTCCTGCTTGTGGCCTCAATGGCATTGCCAGGCCGACCTCCGAGGGGTCGTCGTCTGAAGCTGGCAAGTCCAAACCCAGAGCCCAGAGAAGAGGGCGCCTGCACTGGGAAGAGTTCGCCGGAGTCTGTGAGTACTGGGGACTCCACCAAACCTACCCTCAGCCTTCTGCAGCCCCAGCCTTTCCCACTCGTTCTAACCCGACTGACCCAACCCAGTCAGCACAACGCTGGGCACACTGGGCTCCCTGACACTCCCACATCCGCGGAGGCACTAGAAGCTACTTTCTACCAAACCACTCATTCCCTTTGTACAGTTCCTAGAAGTGGGAGGAAACCCTCTGACGCCTCCGAGGATCTTTTCCAACTGTGGTTGCAGCTCCTTCCCCGGAGCCTCCCCAAGCATCCCAGCGTGTCGCCACCGCCCACAGCCAGGTTGGCGCTCCCACTCTTCTGCCCTCTCTGCGGGAGAGGGAGGAAATGACGTGATGTTATTTTTGTGTCAGGTCACTTTGCTGCTTCAGGTTAGCCCCCCAAGCTCAAGCTCACTGTCCCAGGGGGCCACTCCAAGCCTTGCTCCGAGAGCTGCAGCGACCCGGCGCTGGGTGTCCTCAAGAGCCAGGCGCCAAGTGGCGCGGCCGCACCGGGCTTCCCCTCCCTCCACCTTTGAGCCCTAAAGGAAAGAAGGCTGGCGAGGGCACTCCACCTTGCCCTTCCAGTCGCCAGGTTAGGACATCTGACTCTGGTTGACCCAGACCAGGTGGGACCACCGTCGAGACAGAGAGAGAGAGAGAGAGAGAGAGAGAGAGAGAGAGAGAGAGAGAGAGAGAGAGAACTGGCGTTAGAGGCTGCACCGAGCGAGTTGGGGCCAGAGGTCAGTGGCGCTTGGGGCAGAGGGGGCAATGGCGTCTGCAGGAATTGTCCTACAGAGGCAACAGTTCACAGGTGCGACTCAGGGTACAGAGCATCTGCTACTCTCACGACCCCCCCCCCCCCCCCCCGCTCCCTCATCCCTGCGCTGCTTTCCCCCCTCCCTCCACTCCCTCCCCGCCTCACTCCATTCACAAGGTTCCAGCACTCATTCACTCACTCTGGATAGGCCTGCTCAAGCTAAGGCCAAGGAATAAAGGGGGTGGACTTTGCAAGAACCCTCAAAGCTCTGGCATCGCACACACTCTATCAGTGCGACTGGAAGAGAGAATCCTAGGCTGGGGCTCTCTGGCTAGCGTTGGAACTAAGAAGTGCCCCCAGCCTCCGAGTGCTGCGCGCTGCGGCCAGTAGGAGGCGAGCCCGGGAATGCCCAGCCCTAGGAAAGCGAGCGCGGAGGCCGAGAGGAGTCAGAGAGGGGAAAGGAGAAGGAAGAAAGAAGAGCTCGGGAACTTGGACCCAGAGACGCAGGAAAGGGCGGGAGGCAGAGAGCCAGCACGGGCGGAGTAGGAACCACGCTTACTAGTGTAAGAAAACTGAGGCTCACTCTGGACGCATGCGCACGGCCAACGGAGGCCAGAGGGCCAGAGCTTCCCCTCCAGCTAGTCCAGTGGATCCTAGCTTGGTAAGAAACTGGCGTCCTCTCCTTCTTCCTCTCAGACTCTCCCCTGAAGCCCTGGACCCGTCCGTGAAAGGAACCCCAAGGATGGGCTCGCTAGAGGGACCTGGGGCGCCAGTCCCTCCTTGCCCGGTGGTTGCAAGCCCTGGCGAGTCATCTCCCCCTGGGTTAGTCAGTGACTGTCGCGACTGGGTTGTGGGTTAGAGGCATGACAGTGTCTGAAGGAGGGCTCGAACCATCGAAAACAATTATTATCAGACCCTCTTAAGCAGGTGGTCCGGGGTCTGAGACTCAGTGCGGGACGAGAAATGTCATTAAAGTCTAAAGTGAATATTGGCCATGCCAAGTAAGCATTTTTGGAAAACCCAAGCGCCCTCACTGAGTTGGGGGAAGGATGCACTTGGGGCCGAGCGCCCGGGGCGAGCAGCTTGAGCGCAGGTGGGAAGGAGGTGGCACTCCCGGAACGCACCACCTCCCTTTCAGAGAAGTGCAACCTAGGCGATCCAGCAGAGCTGGGTAGAAAGTGGGCGCTCAGATCGCACCCCGAGCTCTAGAGTCTGCATGCACCTGACAACTGAGCAGATACAACAGTTGCTTAAGGAACAGGCGCTGGGGGCTATTCCTTAGCAGGCCCGGGCTCTAGATTCGCCACACTCGGAGGGGCTTTCTGGACGTTGGAAACAACGCAGGCGCCCAGGCTGCGGCGACTGAAGGTACTAGTAGGAAGCGGAGAGGGTGCGAGGAGGTGAGCGATGGGGAGTCGGGTCCTTGTACACTAGTGCCCTAGGCCTTGGGAGAATTGAGTTGGCTAGGAGACAGCTCCTCGGGACAAGGGTGGACTCTTTAGGAGATCTGAGTGCCTGTGGATATCCGCACCCACTGCTTCAGGAGAGTAGGTAAGGGAGAGGCCTCGGAAGAGGCGGCACGCAGGAGCGGGGTGGATGTTTGGGGAGAGGTTTGAATACGCTTCAGGATTTCCACACACAAGGTGTGGGCGGCCGGAGATGGGCGTTGGGGAGGAGTGTGCCGGTGCTGCGACCTACCCATCCCACGCGTGTCTCGATGTGGGGTGCTGAGAGAGGTGACTCTCTAGGGCTGGGATGGGTCGGGAACTTCCTGAATTCTACCAGAAGCACGGGAAACCAGGGCGAGAGGAGCTAGCGACACACACACAGCCCAGCAGCTAGTGGACTCCGGGTGAAGCGTGCTTGGGACCGAGCTAAGGAGATTCTGGAGGGAGCATCTGCTGCCTCTGCGCCCCCAGGCGGTGAATAGCTCCACGGCGCGTGGAAGGTGGTGATGCAGAATTTCTGTCCTGAAGGAAAGTGAGGGAAGGGAAATCTCTCTTCCTTTCCAGAGACTTTGCCGAAGGCCTACCACTCTCTTGGGCTTTCCGACTTCACAGCCATATAGCTGTCCGGATGGGCTTGGGGGCCAGTCGCCAAATCAGTCAGTGCTCTCAGTCCTGGCGATAGCTCCTCACCCACTAGCTAGCAGCAGCGATCGGGGTTATAGGGCTCCAAATAACTCTGGGAATGTGGGCAGTGGGGAGCTCAGGCGTCAATCAATTCTCACCACCACCTTTGCTTGGTCAGTCCCTACCCTTCCTCAGGGGCACTGGTGACAAGTCCCCTGAAAGGCTTAGTTTCATTTGCTTCTGTTCACTGAACTGCTTGACTTCCTCAAGGACATTTGTGCTAAAATGACACTTGCCTTTAAGTGCTTTGGAACAATTTTAAAGCACACTCTCTACTGGTTTTGTTTCTATTTGCCCCAAACCTAGTTTTTCTACGGCGTCATCCCATTTATCTTCTGTTCGTTAATGTGTATCTTTTATTATCTTAAATCAGCAGAGTTTAAGACCTGAAGAGCCCTTCCTGCAATCTGTTGACTGTGATCTCAAATCCCAACCAACCTGTGTGACTTTAAGAGGTTACTTCATGTCTTTGTGCTTTAGTTTATCATCTGTAAAGGGGGAGTGGCTTACCTTTGATCAATTAATACAGTACAATTTCTGGGCTCATGCTATGCAAAAACTAGTCATAGGACTGGAGAGATGGTTCATCTCATAGGTTAAGAGGATGTGCAGCTCTTGTAGTGGACCTGAGTTCAGCTCCCAGCACCCATGCTGGCTGCTCCCAACAACCTGTAACTCTAGTTCTAGGGGATCCAGCACCTTCTTCTTGCCTCAGCAGGCACTGGGCACACTTGTGGTGTACCCACATACATAGCCATAAAAAAAGAAATCTTTTTTAAAAAAACTATTCTTACTGTTACTATATTGATGCTACATTGGCTTAGTGGAATTCAAAAATCTGAAGACATATGAACATAGGAATATGCATGCATCATTAGCCCTGGCTCTCCAAGGCTAAGGAGGAAAAAATGTAAGCTTTGAGGGCAAGTGAGCTACATACTGCCATTTTTTGGTCTCAAAATAAGTAAAATAAGATAAAAAGAAAGAAAGATTAAGATCAGGAACAGGATACCTCTTTTTGTATGCTATAGAGAGTATGTTTACATACTGAAATGGGTGTTCGTTGTCAAAACCATGAAGCAGTAAATGTTTTCTCTCAATACTTAAGTTTAAATACAATTCATTTCTCTATCACATGGGCCCTTCGTTATGAATAATTATGAGATATTTGCATACAAGTGTCAAACAGCATTTTAAGAGAAATTTACTCTTTAAAAATAGTTGGGTGTGGTGAGATGTTAGAGCAGGTAAAGACACTTATTATGCAAGCCTGAAGACCTGAGTTTAAACCCAGGAACCCAAGATCACACGTAAAGGTTGAAAGGAGAGAACTGGCTGCACGAACTTGTCCTCTGACCTTCACATGGTCATGTCCTGAGCACCCCTCCCAACACTACATACAAAAGTAAATAGTAATAAATAAATACTTTAAAGAGTTGGGTTTATGAGGGCTGGAAACATATCTCAGTTGATAAGCACTTGTCTAAATCACAAAGCCCTGTGTTCCAGCCCCAGCACCAAGTTAACCCAGTGGTATCCATGCAGGTAATCCCAGCTCATAGGAGATCAGAATCAGGAGGATCAGAAGTTCAGGTCATGCTCAGCTACATAGCAAGTTCAGACCCAGCCTAGGCTACATGAGATCTTGCCTCAAACAAACAAAAAGAGAGTTCCCTTTTTTAAACAAATATACATTTAAAACTTAAACAATAAATTATGGTATTTACAAAACATCCAATATTGTCACTGAAATAAGGGGCTTAGTCTTTTAGGAAATTTGGAGACTTACTGTAGGAACTAGACAGGTTAAGTTTTTTGAGAATACTAAAAATTTACCCCAAAAGCTAGTTATCATATAAAAATATGGAATTATGATAGCCCAGTTACTTACTCTAGCTTTTTCATTTTACAAAAAAGGAAACATTCAGAGGGTTTAGGATTTCGGCTACTGAGGAGCTGAAGGAAGATTAGAATTCTGACTCTTTCCTCAAAGCTCTCACAAATGGCACTGAGGATTTGTGACTCCTTTCACAAACAAGAGACTAGGTCTATATAGAAGGATAAACATACAAGTATGTGTTAGCTTCAACACCGAGAAATACAAACCATTGTTTTCATGGTACTTATAAAGACATCATGATATTATAAAGACATGATCACAAAGGTCACAGGACAAGCCAGCACAGAATTAAAGTCCCACTAGGGATGCATTTAGTTGTATGTTCTATTAATCCCTTTGAGCAGTTTTATATTAGAAATCATTTCAAGCTTTTCTTACATTTTAAAAATGTCTTTCCTGCTAGTCTGAAGGTCATTCCCATGAGAAAGCATTTTAGGAAAAGCCTTTAAAATTACACAGGAGATTTTTATTCTTTCCAATTTGTGAAGTAGCAAGTGAAAGAGAAAACTTTGCCTATTTGAATGTAGTAACTTAGCTAGTGATGTCAAATGTCAGTTCTTAAAATTCCACTGTGTGTTCCTACTTGTGTATTCATGTCTGTGAGGAGGATGTAGAGGACAGCTTAAGGAAGCAGCCCTCACAGGAACAGTTGAACAACCCCCATGGTGGTGTTTTCTCTTACAAAGTTATTTTAAGGAACACAGTGTTTTCTGGGGAAAGTATTTCTAGGAACTGTGCCTGCAACCTTGAAGAAGGAGACCATGGTTCTTTCTGGTGTGTAAGCTGAATGGGTATGTTGCCCTTGACTTTGCTTCTTCGGAGGCCAATATGTTCTTAGAAATACAGGGCATTAGGCAGGAGTGACTCTCTAGCGTGCTCCCAAGCCAGTTCTGCAGAAATGAATTTTGAAATGACATGTGTCAGTCAAGTCGCTTATCTTGTGAATCACTGTCCAAGTGGAAATCTGAAGGATGGTTTTGGGGGCACCACCAGGTGACTCACAATGTGAGCTTCTATTCAAGTAAGCACAGTGCTATTCAGCAGCTAATAGATTCATTGTGAGTCACAGTTTAGCATTTAGTACAATAAGTGTGAGTCACTGACTACCAGCACTGTCTGAGATGTTCCCTGAATATTACCTTGAGCTGAGAGTTTGAGGGTTTAGACATGGCTGCAAGGGTAAGTCAGCCTAGAACAATTGAATGGGCTCTGGCAGAGGCCATTCACAATCAACTTTGATGGCCCTCCGGTTGGAATGCTCAAGGTGATATTCCATTATTAGGAATTCACAGAATAGACTGCCTTGATTCTACTCTGCTGATTTGATCTATTTGTGCTGGAGATCGTTTGTGAAATAAGAGTAAGGTGCTGTATTGCCCCAGTAGTGCTCTTTTGTCTGAGTTATCTCTCAAGTTATTAAAGCCAGTTGACTGTTCTGGTTTGTAAAGTAATTAATTTAAATTGTAAAATCCTTTCAAATCCATATTACTATTTGCATTTAAGACCATGGCACCTGATGTAAAATTACACAGCAATTTGACTTGACCAGGAGCTGTGCCATGTACTTCTCTCTCTAACAACACGGAAACAAAGGCCAGGGACATGGCTTGGCTTTGCTCATGTCCCTGA